AAACAATGTTCGAAACAATTATTCGTGATTGAATTAACTGTAATTGATTACCTTATTCACTGAATCGAATATTTTCAACTAGAGATGAAGTCCCCAACCTTAATACTTTACTAAGCAAAAATTTTGAGTACAAACTTGAAACCATTCAGTTCGGCTCTTGCAAAATAGTACATATAGTCTTGAAACTCTTGTATAGTTAGAAATATGGATGTTGCTAATCAGTTATTTCATCACTACAGAACTAAAAACCTTGTCAGGGTAATCTATTTTACTTTAAGGTTATTCGATTATTAATTATGAATATAGTCGTTATAAAATTGGCAAAGATACCGCATCACGTTTATGTTATCGATAGCCAGAGCAAGCCTACCAACGGTTCATTTATCTCAGATCTACCTACATTAGCTCGAATTTGTTCTATGTCCTTTTTTAGATGCATATGTGTCAGAGATCACATCAGAGCAAGCTATCATTCTAATAACATTATGTGACTATAAACAATAATTCCCTATATTGAATTTTAACGGTGATTCGGAAGCATTCAAATTGAGAAGTATTTACAGGCTGGTTCTACTAAGATATTTTTACCGGCTTTACAGATTTACAGATGGCTTCTATGATCTGAATTTAATGGCATGGATATTGGTGAGTTGTATCGCTCACATGAGCTGAGTTGTATGACGGATAAGAACTAAGCTGTGTCGGTTATATAGATGGAAAATTGAGGCTTATATAAACTGAGTTGGATTTTCTGTATGAGCTGAGTTATATATCGTCCATATAATTCTGAGATAAGTTGATTCACCCATATGAAAAGAATTAAATCGTCCATATGAGCTGAGTTGTATGGGGCATATGGATGGAGTTGCAAAACCCATCATTTAAGTAAAATTAAACAAGTTTTGTTTTGATTAAATTGAATACTCAACAACGCTTATATTTTCCAATATAATTGAATGTGGATCCAATTCTTTTCACAAAATTCTTGTGAAATGATAATGATGATTGAAGTTCTTTATAATTTGCTTATAGGAATTAAATATATATATTAATTAAATAAGTATTAGTAACAAATAAAATAATTTTAATAATAATAAAAATAATATGCATTCATTTATTGTTTTTATTGGTAATTGATGAAGTCTGTTTTTGTGGAATTCTAGAAACAAATGTATTTAGATACAAATAAGCAGAACGTAATTCGAATAACAAAATAGATAACACGAACAAAGGAAGCAAAATGAAAACACAGATAAACAACTGAGAGTATTAGATTTAATGCAAAACACACTTCATGAATTTCTTTCATTAATTTAAATTATGTCATTGGAATGCACAATTGTGTTTGTATATTTGTATCTTCATGAGTCTCTAATTACCTAATACGAGAGGAACGACTAGATACATATGTTGAAAATGAAATAAAATTGTCTGTCTTTACTAATCGCCAATAAAAACAGAAAACGGAAAACAGACATGCAATACTCGACCGTAGCAACACAGCTTAAAAATTTTTTTTAATGCTTAAGAACTGTTTATAGAAGATACAGAAGATATAAGAGCCTTGGAGAAAATAAACCTAATCAGCAAAAATGCGAAGAAAACTTATTGTCACAGAATGGTTTCAATATGTGTTTATTAAATATGACGACTGTTTGTGTTGTTGGGTAGAAAAAAAAACATAATTTCTAATATAAACAGATATCTACAAGTGTATGTATTTTGCAATAGGTACATACAGGGTCCAATTGAAAAATAACGAACATTTTACAATTATTTATTTTCATGCTCTATTTAATTTAATGATTTGAATTTTAATATATGAATTGGTTGCTATATCAGTAAGATATGCGTTAACTATCAAGCACTGCATGTGCAGGACGAACACAGGTGCAGGTGGTGGACATGGGTTTCTGTGGCAAAATGTTGCATCAGAGAATTTGTAAGAAATTTTGAATTAAAAACGAAATTCATTGCAAGAAGTATTCGAAATATTTAATTATGTGTTTCGCGATAATACTATGTCATAACAACTAATTTATTCCACTGTATTACTGAAATCACCCTACTCTCCAAATATGCCACCCTATAACTTCTTTAGTTAGGTTTTTGGGAATCCTCTTCGGGGCGTATGAGTGATATTTTTAGTAATCAAATATTCAATAAAATTCCACTGTATTACTGAAATCATCCTACTCTCTAAATATGCCTTTCTATAACTTCTTTAGTTCGATTTTTGGGAATCCTCTTCGGGGCTTATGAGTGATATTTTTAGTAATCAAATATTCAATAAAATTCCACTGTATTGCTGAAATCATCCTACTCTCTAAATATGCCTTTCTAAAACTTCTTTAGTTCGATTTTTGGGAATCCTCTTCGGGGCTTATGAGTGATATTTTTAGTAATCAAATATTCAATAAAATTCCACTGTATTGCTGAAATCATCCTACTCTCCAAATATGCCACCCTGCAACTTCTTTAGTTCGGTTTTTGGAAATCATCTTCGGGACGTATGAGCGATATTTTTAGTAATCAAATATTTAATAAAATTCCACTGTTTTGCTGAAATCATCCTACTCTCCAAATATGTCACCCTGCAACTGCTTTAGTTCGATTTTTGAGAATCCTCTTCGGGGCGTATGAGTGATATTTTTAGTAATCAAATATTCAATAAAATTCCACTGTATTGCTGAAATCATCCTACTCTCTAAATATGCCATTCTAAAACTTCTTTAGTTCGATTTTTGGGAATCCTCTTCGGGGCGTATGAGTGATATTTTTAGTAATCAAATATTCAATAAAATTCCACTGTATTGCTGAAATCATCCTACTCTCTAAATATGCCATTCTAAAACTTCTTTAGTTCGATTTTTGGGAATCCTCTTCGGGGCTTATGAGTGATATTTTTAGTAATCAAATATTCAATAAAATTCCACTGTATTGCTGAAATCATCCTACTCTCCAAATATGCCACCCTGCAACTTCTTTAGTTCGGTTTTTGGAAATCATCTTCGGGACGTATGAGCGATATTTTTAGTAATCAAATATTTAATAAAATTCCACTGTTTTGCTGAAATCATCCTACTCTCCAAATATGTCACCCTGCAACTGCTTTAGTTCGATTTTTGAGAATCCTCTTCGGGGCGTATGAGTGATATTTTTAGTAATCAAATATTCAATAAAATTCCACTGTATTGCTGAAATCATCCTACTCTCCAAATATGCCATCCTATAACTTCTTTAGTTCGGTTTTTGGGAATCCTCTTCGGGGCGTATGAGTGATATTTTTAGTAATCAAATATTTAATAAAGTATCTGACAAAAAAAATGACCAGTTTTTCTCAAAAACATTGAACATAGATTGATAGACAAAAAGCTAAAGAACAGCCAGACAAACAGCCATCAGATAGATAAACAGACAGATAAAGTAATAGCTAAAGAGACCAATTGACAAACAAATAGACAGATAAAGATATAACCGATAGGTAGACATGCAGTCAGACTAATGAAAATAGTCAGATTATAGTCAGATAAGCAAACAAACTGAGACACCAATAAACAGATAAATAAACATAAAACTGACGGGCAAAGAGGTTTCAAAGACTTATAGGCGAACATACAAGAAAATAGACCGACACAAAAACAGAAAGGTGTACAAATAGAAAGGTAGGAATACATACAGATAAGCAGACCTGAAGATAGATTAACATACAGGACGAAAAGCATAGGACAAATACTCAGATATATAGAGTGTCAGGCAGACAAAGAGATAGATAAAAAGAAATCAGTACATCGATTTTGCTTTCTTTGCGCACAGAATGGTTCAATTGTACTGTAATTAATTTCCAACTACAATAACTTTCGAATTGACACCAATATTTGTATCAATCTTTCTTCAAACGCAGCTGATTTTATTATTTATAACTTTGCGGAAACATTCACATCCCATTTTTTTGAAAATATGTTGTCTGTGATGAAGTATCTAATGCAGCAACCTAATAATGTCATACCCCATTATTTGTGCTGAAAATCATAAGTGGCTATTGTTAGAATCAATGCAGCAAAAACAAGTTCTAAAGAAACTATATAGTTCCAAAAAAGTCAAGACTTCAGCAATTTTTAAAAAAACAAAATTATCTCAATGGAGATTATGTGCTTATACGGACGCGATTAGTTTTCGAATATCATCTCTAGTTTCTCAGCTGAAGAACTCTCAAAATAATCAAGTCTATTTAAGAGAGAGGTTTTAAGAAAATTTAAATATTCAAATGACTAAAATAAGTTAAGTAACATCGTTTGAGATGGCTTAGGTGGCTATTGACATTTTAATGAGAGAAAGGGAAACAAAGATTGAGAGAAAGTATTTTCGTGTTTCAATAACATTCTGGATTGTACAAGCATGCACTAACTAGATAATGTTCAAAATTTCCTCTCGACCACATATTGACCTATATAGTCACCGTATGCAAACCCGTTTAACTGTTGGTCGCCTTAATCGCAAAGTCAGCGATTAAGAAAGTGTTTTTTCGTGAATGGACGAAAACTCCTTCGGTTCAAATACGTGTACTTTGGGATTGATTTATCAGGTAATTTAGAGAGAGTTAAATATATATGTGTGTTTATTGAAAATCCAAAATAAAATAGAAAAATTTGATTTTATTTTAAAATTTCTTTTCGTTTATTCTATAAAATAAATTGAAAAAATTTAATTTTCTATTAAAGGAAGAAGCGATTAATAATTAAGTCACCTTGTACTATGTTGAATTGATGATAGCTCCTCTACTGCATTAAAAAGTTCAGGATAAAAACTCTAAACAGAAAACTCTAGACATAC